GCTGGGTCCAAGGCCATTCTCGCCAGCCCCAAAAAGTCTCGCCCCTTTTCCTATTAAAATTATTTTTTAAATTAATATTTTTAAGTGACCATTTTATTTATAATTATTTAAAAATAAACATCTATTAAATATTTTTATAAAAAATTTAAACAATATTTCTACCTTACAATTAAATAGAAATTACTCATTAAAAATTTTAATTTATGTATATATATATAATACACGAGAATATATAAATATAATTATACCTTAATCATTTTTTATATTTTATAATAACAATTATTAAAATTTACCAAATACAAATATTTATCGGTTAACAACAATAGATTAAAACCACTAGCTATTATGAATAGCAACTAGCTACTAGTAAGTATAAAAATGAGGATTGAGACTCGCAGTTGGAAGAGGTATTTTGCCAAAAAAAAAAAAAAAAATTAATAAAAAAAATGCACCATCTATTAAAATATTTTTGTTACATAAATTAAACCAATATTTCTAAACCCCTATAGAAGACTTACCTCGGAATCCTTATCAGAAGGATTAGAACTCACGAAAATAATTGTTTATCTCTTTCCTATAATTAAATAAGTTGTCAATATGTAAATCATGGTTATGGCTATACTACATGATATTTGGATTGACTACCGAGAATCCATACTAAAATATATTATTTATATCCCATTTTGTAATTGTGTTATAATACCATAATTCTTTTATTATTATTTGATAATCAATACAAATTTATTAAGATAAATTTGACATAAAATTAAACAAATATTATCTATATCGGCTTTTAACACTAACAATTAGAAAAAATTACTATTTATAAAACCAACCTAGACACATTATTTCTCAGACATGTGATATAATGCATAAACCTAGTTCCCAATATTACCTAGTTAAAAGCTAATAATAATATGAAGGTGAGTTGGAAGGGAATCTTTACGCGAGCCAGATGGTACAAAGAGGGTTGTCTAATTTTTGCCCAATCAGTACAAAAAAAAAACAAAACTAAGTTATTTTAGAATATAAATAAAATTGCTGGGGCCCCTCATCTTGGGGTACGATATGTTGCGGGGCAGTCATGTTATCCTTACATAAGGGCCGTGGATTTTTTAAGCAAACGTGAACTAGGAGTTTGCCCGGGGTAGAATGGGTAGATTAAACGAGGACATGAAAGTAAGAAACATAACTCCTAAAAACCAAATCCTCAGAACACTTTTGTTTGGTGGTGGTTTTTCGTGGATAAGATTCCCTTATATGTTATACCTAACGATAAGTTCTTCATAAACTCATCCTTTATATCGTACTCCCCATAACTAGACCTCTCCCTAGAGGCTTCCCACTTCCAATTCTTTCAGTTATCCGCCCCAAAAAAAAAAAAATTAAACTTTTGGGTGTTCTCGTTTCCTTTTTTTTTCTTAGTAACTCTCTTTTACTCGCGTGTAAAAAAAAATTAAAGTAAATTAGTATAATGTGTTGCTGGAGTAATTGAACACAAGCCACTTTATTCCAGTCGTAGGTAGGTCACACTAACACTTATTACTTTTTATCTCCATCGATTTTTCCATCTCACTAAATCTGACTCTCCATGATTGTGTTGTTAATTGTTGCCTTCTCCTCTTCTTTCTTATGTCTAAAAAAAAAAAAAAAAAAAATAATAAATAAATAAAAGTTTTGGGCCATGTAGAATGTGGGCCAGCAGTCACATAGGCTGATGTAAGCATAACAGTTGCGGGGTTAAGGGACCAGACCACCAGCTCCAGATGTAGGGAGGGATTTAGACAACGCCATGGTCCCCCCATATGCACCTAAAAAAAAAAATAACTGTGTTCTGTCCTTTTTTTTTTTTTTTTCCTTAAAAAGAAAATTATGGAGATGAAGACACTTTCACTTGTAATTATACTTATGTTCACATCAATTGACTCTCATGATTGTGTTTAATGTTGCCTTCTCTCTTTCTTTCTTTCTGATTTTTAACACTAACATCGATCAACTATTCTTAAACAGATTGCTAAAAATAAATTTAATATCAATGTATAAAATTCATGCATAATATCATTTTTTTTATATTAATAAAAACTACCGTTTATTTTTATTTCTCTTTTATAAAATGTGTTATAAATCTGTATTTAGAGCCGATCTACAATCCTCACTGGTTTTTTACATTTTACTGTATATAATTATGCTAATTTGTATTTACTCACTAAATTGTTAAATTTTTTTCCGTTGAATCCTTTTATTAATTAGATTTTCTGGATCGGTGATTGTCTGTATTAGGCAGAGAAACCCACTTAAAAGTAGAAACTATGAATTTGAATATGAATTGGAGAATTCATGAACCGTTTCCTCCTTTTTTTGACTTTAATGCTGCTAATTAAAAGAGAATGAAAATTTGCTTTTTAAAAATACATGCTCATGGTGTATATAACTCAATTTCACCAAAAATAAAAAAGTGTGTTACATGATTATATAACAATTAACAAGTATGCAATGTATTCTTTTTTTCTTATTCACATTTTTACATATATGAGCTAGTTGACTCGAGTCAACTAGGATTAACAATAATTTCGAAATTTCAACATAAATTAATAATTAGCACAACCTTATAGTGAAAACATTTTATTTAAAAAGAAAATTTTTTTATTCGAGATCTCGATATATATACCAAAAAAATATAATAAGATTTTATCTAAATATATTTCGCTTGGTAGCTGGTTTGGATTTAATTTCGCTCGATTCTTTATTGTTAATAATCTCTAGTAAAGTTAATTTGATTGCTGAAAAAAAAAATAGAAAGAGAAATATAATAAGATATTAAACAATTATTAAACCAAAACACTAACTTTGAACATTTTAACAATTATCACATTATTACTTTACTAATCACTATTAAGTCTTACAATTGTAAATTTTGATGAGAGAACATTCACAAAGCAAATATGAATAACACAATAATAACAATATAAAAGGATTCTAACTTTTACTGTTGGATTTAGGTTTCAAGACATAAAGCAATTTAGTGATCCCTTTTTAGCTTGTAGCATAGGACCCAGGTGGACAAGCACCCACCAGACCAGACCACCCCACCAACAATTTTTATGCTCAATTGGTAAAAGTGCCTTCCGGATAAAATAAATTAACTATACTGTGTTATTTTTACTTTTCACCTTAGCTGATTCATCTTCTTCCTTCTTATATGTTTATATAAACATGTTTTGAGTTTAAGTTTTTTTCATCACAAAAATGATTACTAATTTAATGAATATTATTTAAAGAAAAGAACTATCTTATACTATATAGTCCATAATATTATTCTGGTCTCATGAATAAAAAAAAAAATTAAAGATTCAAATTTATAATCTGAAAGCACATTAATTTATTTATTTGTTTGAAGTATTTAAGAATCTCAGAAAGTCATAAGGTGGATGAGGATATTGTTTTTCTGGATCCATTATCAATAGTAAAGCAACATAAACAAAAGATATATATTTTATGGTTCAATTTATTCCCCAGGTGGGACATTTTGCTATCTCTCGATTCCCTTAATTACATATAAAATAAATAAAAATACTTCCAAATTAGCATTATGACCTGGATTAACAAGATATGTTTTGAAAGAGCGGTGAGATTTTACTTGAGAATAAAAACTTTGAGAGGATGTCAATAGATTGAGTTCTTCCCCATTATTATATGAAAAAAATAAAAATAAAAATCCAATACTCAAATGGGGACCGATTTATAGTTGATTTGTAGTTTAAGCATCACATAAATTATATATGTAGATAAAATTGTCGTTGTCGTTGCATTGAGGATGTGGGTGGAGATACCAAAGCCATTCCTTTTCAGATATATTTGTTGCCAATGATCTAACAATATTTTTGTCTCCTAAAATTATGTTGCTCTGCATGTACACTTGGTTTTGTTGCGAGTTACAGGCTAATAGAACAGCCTCTGCCTTGCATATATCTGTCCACTTGTTTCCACTCTGTACCTAGTGAAAGAACTATCAGTTCTGTGCATGACACCAACTCAGATTCTAATACTGAACAGGAACTTTGATGGAATTTCTTTAAAAAATTTTCTAATAAAATCTTAAAAATATTTATGATGACTAATTATTAATTTATTAAGTAATTAATTAAATATGAGTCCATTTTGTTTATTTGTCTAACTAGAAAATTCATGTCCTCGAATAATTCATTAAAAATAATCATATTATCTAAGAAAATTTATTATTATTATTATTATTTTAAATCAGGACCATCACCTACCGAACCAATCAAAAAACCTTTCAAATTTAGACAAGTTCTTGCAAAACCGAACTTTACTATGTAAATCCGATCGATTCTGACTCCAAATCCACTCGGCCACTTAGCAAGCTGGACTTATGAATACAATCAACATATCCAGTGTTATCACAATCTTTTATAATTCACTATTCAAACCTTACAATTCGATTTGATTTTTATAGTAAATAATTAGAATCTTATAAGTGAATCGAAATTGAATATAAATTTTATAATTCAAATTTTATAGAATTAAAATTGAATATAAATTTTATAATTCACGCGATTCCTTACAATTATATTCAATAATTCACGCAATTCCTTATAATTAAGGTTCGAACCGATTCCCATACTCATTGATTTTCATACTCTGAAAATAGCATAAAAGAAAAAGAGAGCAACATTAGAGGATATAACTATTTAAATAGAAAATGAAAATAACGAAGGATTTGAATTTAAAAATGATAATGAATGAAAATGGAATTAGATAAAAAGTTAATTGTTTGGTAGTTTTATTTTATTTTATTTTTTAAAAAATTTAACATAATAATTTAATATTTTAAACTTGCATGACTTAGAACGAAATTTAGCAATTAAATTTCTATTTCATTCTATAGATAAAAAGAATTCCGATTCTCAATTTGACAACTATAACCATATCTAACTATCTATCAATCATACAAAAGGACATAAAAAGTGCGCAAGAGAGAATGCTAAAAACAATACATCTATTAACTTTTAACCACAAAAATTACTAGAAAGTTCATTCTATCAAGAACTGGAAAATCAAGGTATAGACATTAAAGAATGCCCTATATAAATTGGCAGTATTAGCATTAATTACATTTCAAAAGCCAGCGCTGCAACTGCATTCATTATCTACAACTTTTATAGGGACAAAACAGATCATCTACAAAGCAAAACAGAAATGTTTACTGCTTCAATGGTTTCCTTCTTCCATGTTTGGAAACCGAGTATTATCATCATCAAAACATGATCGATCCAAGCCACTACGTCCATCTTGCAAACTTCTATCAAAACTGTCACAGCTGCCAATTACCTTAGCATCGCCATCTCCTTTGGTGCTCTCTGACAGAGAGACCAAGCTAAAGGCAGCCATGCTACTCGCAATAGCATTAACATCACTGGATCCAGCATACAGGCCTCGGCTCCCAGTAGCATGTAGACCCTTTTTATCATCATTGGTTAACACAGCAGGCAAAACATCCATCAACTGAGGGTTACCCTGGGCTGAACTACTAATGAGTAGTCGCAGAGTCTCCCTTGCACCCTTCTCTAGCATAGAGTCAGTTTCGGGAATCAATGGATTCACAAGCTGAGGGTGCAATGGTGGTATAGAACTTGAAATAGCAGGACCAGCACTCACCAGATAACCTTGCCCCGAAGAGCAGACATCAATTACTGGAATATGAACAATTGGATCGCAAATTAAAGGCGTGAAGGTTGGGATCTGCTGCGAACCAGGCATTGGCAATCTTAACAATGGGTCTGGCAGCAAAGCAGGAAAATCCAACGAGGGAATTTCAGCTAAACTAAGGGATGGTGTTGGAGTTAACAGGCCAGAAGGCCGAGCGGCCGACAATAATGAAGACAGTGGTGGAAGCAAGGGGGATTCAGTTGATGATGTAGTGAATTGTGGAGATGCTGAAGGACGTTGCAAAGTTGATGCACCTTGGGGGCACCAACAATAGTATGGAGAAATGAGAGGTGGAATTGAGGGCATAACATGCGGTGCTGAAGTTAGAGATGGAGAGATCGCCAATTTCCCTAGTGATTCAAGAAAACTTGATGGTGCTACAGGGCAACTATTAATTACGGCGAGTCTTTCATTTTCCAACTGAATACAGCTTGATGCATCATTGTTACGGGGGAATGTAATCATCAGGTCATCAACTGCTGAGAGATGGCTATCCCCACGGCGCTTTAACTTTTCCCGGGCAGCATTTTTCAGAGAAGACAAGCTTCTGGGAACACCCTCTTTGAAGGAACTTGATCTAGGACTGAGGCTTCCTTGATAAGATGAATTTGCCTTTACAGCCTGACTGCCAACGTGTCGGGAACGCAGAGACTTAGATGATATAGAAGATGTACCATCAGCGAGGTCAAGATTGGTGCCCAATGAAGTGGCAGGAAAGCATACAGCATTTTCTCGGATGCTTCCAACAAGATAGGTGCGGAGGTGTGTAGCAAAGCAATCAAGACGTGACTTACTAATACCAGTTAAATCTGCTATTGATGGTCTCCTCTTGAGTATATCCTTTATCTATTATTATCAAGAAAATAACATCTCATTCAATACATAAATCATCCAATACAAAAAAGGAAAAAAAAAAGGTGGTAAAGAAACTTCCAATAAATCTTCATGTTTCACTTTATTCCAAAATATAATAAGAAACGAAAAAACCATTTATGTAAATCAGAGTATGACTGTTTTCAATTTTCAATTGGATGGCCACTTCCAAATTGAAGAAATGCTATTTCAGTTACCCCTGCATTATTTTAGCTGAACAAATTATCAAGACAAATAAATTGCTTGTTAATCAATGCATGTACATGCAAGACTATTTACTAGATGCCGTACCTTTGACAGCAATTCCATCCCTAAAAGCTTTGATTTCTCTGAGCACCAGAAGTAGAAATCTCTATCGTCTTCTATCTTTACCAGGAAAGATCTGCCGGAACTGTCTGCAGAGATCTCTTCAACTGTGACAACAGGACCCTGTGCTTTACTGCCTAGGGTGAAGAGTCTCTCTGTACTACCATCATCTCCAACGAAGGAGAGGCGCAAATCAGATGTCGGCAACAGTGTAAGATTCAAATTTCCCCTGAAATAACAGGAAAAGATTAGATAGTACTTAGAATAAAACAGGAAAACTGAACAAAAAAAGCAAAAAGCAACAGAACATATTCTAAAAGGAGGTCACAGATAGCAGTGAGTTCTTTAAATTCTCTCTATCCCGTAAACTGACTATTTCAGTTAAAATTATGGAGTTGAACGCTCTCAGAAAAGTTACTATTACACCGTATCCAAAAACAAATAGCTCAATCATAAAGTACACAAAAACATAAAAGGAAAAAAAAACAAACAAATTGGGTTGAGTGGTTTTGGTGGGTGGGCCTTATCAGTGATGCCTACACAAACGTTCATTAAAATTAAGAGATTTAAACAACAAAATATCATTTATTTTTCTCTTTACCAGCTAATGAAGATTTACTAACCTGGCAATTAGAGTAATTTAAGTGCAAAGTTTACAGCAGGAACAATATTACAGCAAAGTTTTTATACCCTCGCTTCAACTGCCAATCAATCAATCAAGCATGCTATTTTACTGCATGGTTGTTCAGATATTTATCCTCTAAAGCTAGAATCTAAAGCTAGACTAAAATTAAATTTTCTCAATAACCTCAATTTCTCAACTAAACCCATGCCGATGACCAAAGTTAAACCATTATACTTCAATATGTATAGAGTTTTAACCATTTTATTACATTAAAAAACTCACTTTTCACATGTAGAGCAAAATAATAGCATAAATTTAAAAAGAATATTAGATAATCCTAAAAAACTGTCATGTTCATCATCTTCCATCTTTAATTTTTTTTTTTTTTTTTTTTTTTAAAAAACCTGTCATGTCTCATCTTCCATCTTTAATTTTTTTTTTTTTTTTTTTTTCATATAGCACATTTTTAGTTATACCCAGAAGTCCATAAAATAAAATGATAACAGTTCCCAATCAAATACACAAAGTCATAATCACAGATCAGCAAGGTCAGAAAAGAAGAATAAATGATATATTAAAGAATATAAAAAACAGATTGGAAGAAAATTACAAAAGCAACAAACTTTTGAAGAAAGATAGATACATTACAATATCAACTAAACAGCTTATAGCATTAATTTGTTAGTTAAGATACATAATACAGAGACCTTTTGCACGCAATTCTACTCCAGTCAAAAAGTTACCCTATTAAATCCAAAAAGCAGCAGCAATTATGTGATCATATAATATAGGAGATGAAACTACCTTTACTTCCTCATAATTCAGAGATCATAAAGAATACGCCCACTTTACCTACAAGTCAAAAGATATTTTTACTTGGAAGCATGAACATTATCACCATTAATAAGCTAAAACACACAACCCTGCAATGACTACTATTCATTAACAATGACGAGGCATACACTTTCCAGCCACAAGTGTTTGAAAGGAAACTTAATACTAATGGAACTTCAATTCAGTAGTAAACCTAACTAAGCAATTGGAGAAAAAATAACACAGGTAGCAGAACCCTTTTCACTCACAACCATCTTGAAAAGGATTACACAGTTGAATAATCTTCACACTGCCCCTGACATCATAATGAAATGCCCCAGCTATGGAGGAGTCAAATCTAGAAGCAGTGAGAAGAAACAAGCATAACGAAACCAGCAAAAAACAATTTCATGTTATTTGAATTATTTCATTCAACAGATCCTTCACATCCAAATGATCTTATGGAACAAGTATGGAACAGTCTTAAATTATCCTCATATTAGAGGATGGGTGAGAGCACCAAACCATAATTTAAACAAAAACCACATAACATATAACGCGGTAAAACACTGTTCAAGCAATAATATGTAAACAGATCTAAGCATGGCAAGAAATCCATGTATACATGATATTTGAAACATATATCTATAAACTTACTGGGGTGACATACTGCAAAATATCAGAACATCATTAACATCATGCATAATCTAAATCGGCTGCCTGCATAGGATGTACAATGTATAATTGTATAATATAATAGAAATTTGGATTTGATAGATGAAGAAGCGAAAGACTATCTCATCATATCATATGCACAATAAAAGTTCATAAATGCAACATGCAGGGCTCCCTCAACACCTACTTAATTATGCAATTCGGATATATAAAACGAAACATTAAAAAATGAAGAAAACAAGTTATAGAATTAGAGATCACATGGTTATGCAACAAATGAAGTTGTCCAGATTTTGCAGTGATCTCACAAAATAAAAGGGGCAATTAAAGCTTACTGGAGTAAGAGGGGAGAAAGAAGACATAAACATCCTCCTAAAAAGATCTTTAAGGTTCAAGAATAAAGCTAAACCCCGAGCTAAACGTCCTCCCTCTTATTTGTGCATGCTAAAACGCAATTAATACGTTGCACGCACGCAAATCAACAAAAAAAAGCAAACAAACAACAAGAAATCCAAATATATTCAATTACCTTGCAGCAGTAGGGCATAATAGAGTCCCCTGCTTGTTAATCTTGCCAACGCGAATTGAAACGAGAGGTATACAGAAACATCTAGCAAGCATGCCTACTTCTGATGGCTCGAAGTGCTGATCACAAAAACACAAGAAGAAAAATATATCAGCCAACACAATTACATCATATATTTAATAGTAGTAACCCTTCAAACTTTAACAGACATAATATCCCAAATTAAGCCTGCAAAAAACGAGCATAGCAGATTAAATACATACCCGACTCAGATGGGCCAAAAGTCGATCTTCAGCCATACCACTAGAAGCATTCAGCTTCAACAACGGCTTCAACCTCTCATCAGCTCTACACGCCCCCATTACCTGCATATCTAAAGCTTGCAGCCATTGCAAAACCCTATCTTCACGATCGCTCCGTTGAAGCAGCAGATCTCCATCTCCTTCATCCACAAGGATGTCCGCCAACCGCTCCGTTAACCCAATTTCAGTTCTCCCTGGCGAAACGCTACCAGATCCAACGGTAGAAGACTCAGCACCGCTTGAAACAGATAACGATTCATCGAAATCATCGCCGTTGGATCCTTCGGTGCAATCATCACATAATCCTTGCTTTCTAGAGCTAGACATCGCAGAATCTCTCGAAATTTTTAAGTAAAGAAAAATCAGAAACCCTAAAGTTTGAGCTTCTCGTCAGAAGATAGCAATCAGAATCTTCGAATCTCAATCGACCTCAAGAAATGAACAAAAATTTTCTTGAACAAAATGAAATTTGGAGATAGAGAAAAAATCTGGTACAGAAGTTTCCGGCTGTGGCGTTTAAAAATGGGAGGATAAGCAACGGAAGGGTTTGTTATATAATATACCTCCCGGAACCGAAATGATTTTATCTAAATACAATTTTGCGTTGGCTTTCAAGTCCGGGCGGTCATTACTATACACTGATTGCAGCTAGCGTAAGTGCCACTTCAGCTTCATCATTGTGGGGCCTATTCCAAACTTTATGGGGCCTATTCTAAACGTTGTGGGGGCCACGAGACTGGAAGTCGAAATAGGACAAGTCAGCAATTGGGCCGACTTTTTTAGGATGGGTGCTACGTGCTAACGTGTGAATGGAGGGTAGATTTTCACGGTTGGATTTTTAAAATATAATAATTCAAACCAAACCGAATCGGACCAAATTAAAAAGAAGAGTCAAGTTATTCAATTTTAGATTCACTGCTCGATTCTATATGTAGATAATCTAGGTGTTTATTTAATTTCAAATAAACAATGCAACTAAAGACCAGAAAATTTTTATGGGTTGAAATTGCACTACGAATTATACAACAATAGGGTAATCATCCCTTTAACTTAATAAATTGGTGACAACAACTGTGATGGAGAGGACTTAAACTCGAACCTCCGACTCCTTACATAAATGAGAAGAGCATCCAGACCATTACTGATTGCAAATTTATTATTATTATTTAATGATAGACTCAAGAATTTTTTTTTATTGCAAAATGAATAGTGATAAACCACTTCATGTTTATTTGATTATATTGATTAAATGATTTAGTCTGATTTGAAAAATTTATAAACCACAATTTTATAATTTGGTTTGGAAATTTTTTAAACCATATCAAATCAAACCATGTTCACCGCTAGATGAAGGGACAAATATGACCATTTTTGGGTTGTTTTATTAGTGGAAAAGAAACTGGACTTGGGCCAATTACAGTTATGTATGATGTGATTCCTGTGAGCTATATAAAGTACGAGAGTGATAGCTTTTTTTAGGAAATTAAGAAGTGAAATTGAGAGTACCAGAAAAAATATCTTAGGTGTGGGTCCCCTGACAATTTATTTTTGTATTTGGTTGTGGATGGAGAGTGTCTAAACAAAACGGCATATTCCAAAATTCCAAATTTTGAGCCAACCTAACCCAATAGCAAGGAAATCACTAAACTAGAAAATACCAATACATCAAACTTCCAACCTCAGTCACACAATGTCATGCTCCTCTAGTTGAATTATTGAGCTGGCAATTTAAATTTTATTCATTTTCCTTTAATTTTTAGTTGTTTTAAATTATTTTTCTTTTAATATACATTTTTTTAATATTTATCACTGATATTACATCATCCATTGAATTAAGTTTAATCTTACCAGTGCTGCGCCAAACTTATAAGTTATAAAGGTTTGAACACACAAGGCTTAATTAAATTTTCTCCACACACAAGGTTTGAACACCCACCTCTTATCTAAGAGATACGGTTCTTTTAATTAAACCACCAAATTTGAATCTAAATTATTTTTTCCTTAAATAAAGTTGCAAATATATATTACCTCAAAACAAATATTATTGCGTCGATCAACAATAATATACTTTCCGAAATGCCTTGATCACTTACTAACATAACAGAATAAAATCATTTCATTTCACATCTTTCTCAAACATTGCATAACTGCAGATCAATATTCTATAGGCCATTGATTATATTCCAACCTTAATCTAAATTTTCAACTTGAAATTCATTAGGACAGAATTATTTCAAATAATGATATTAGATGAATGTTTGATATTACACACACACACACACAAAAAAAAAGAAAGAAACGCAGAACCACTCTAATAAAAAGTTTCAGTACCTCCAAGGGAGAGCTTCCAATATATACCAAAAATAATAATAACTCTTTAAGAGAATAAAAATCACAGAAAAACGTAACACCACATTGTTTTTCCAATCATAAATTGCTCAACACTCCACTAGCCAAAAAAATTTGTTCAATAAGCTTTAACGAATTAATCTTAAAATTATTCATCGTGCTTATCTAATAAAATTAAAATCGAGCTTTAGAATGAAGCTCACAAGCAAGCTCAATAATAATAGACAAGCACGTAAAAGAACTCCAAACCAAGCCTACAAAAATGAGTTCAAACTCGAACCAGAACTCCAAAACAAGCCACAATATTTTTTTTACTTTCTATTGTAAACTGAACCCAGCTCTTTTTGAGCTCGAACTCAGGTATAAGGTTAACTAAGCTTATTTACACCATAATTTACCCACAAGCATGCCAGAACATCAGTACAATTTTCATCAAAAAAAATAAAAAAAAAGAAGGGCAACAGACGATGTTGAAATGAAAGCAAGATCAGCTTCAACTATAGACAGAAAATTATAGCTAATGCAAAAAATGTCAATAAATAGAATAGCTAATGGAACAAAAGATCTACTTTCACTAGTTATAAAATCTGTATTTAATAATATTAAAAAAAATTATTACATATAATAAATTATTATATATTTAAAAATTCATGTCAGTAATGATTATTCCTATGAGATAATTATTATAATTACATGTTATTCCATGAAGCAGAAGCTCTGACTTATGGATCAAAAAATCAAAACGACATGAATCAATCAAACTCTATGCTTTAAAAATTAAGTGCAAAGATATGTGATGCAAACAGATATGTGATGCAAACAGATATGAAATGCAGATGTTACATACTGCCACAATATAGCAACGAAGATCCACACAGGTGACAGTATTTAGGTGATACGCAATTGCAAGTGAAAACCTGAGACACAGGAGGAAGCGAAAACTTTTTCCTGCAATTTGCAAATGCCAAGAAACAATAGCTAGAAAGCAATCATCAGGACTTTTGTCTGCAACTGCAGATTACTATAATTTCTTTGGTTGTCTAAGAAATCATGCTAGTCAATTCATTTAGTTTGCCTCAAAAATTTTCAAGGGAAGAAGCATAGTTTCGATGAACATCCATATTAAATCACAATAATGTTCAACCTCTATCTGTCTAACCATTGATCTACTCAACGTTGTTAGAACAGTGGATTACTTGTTCTTCTTTGGTTCTCCTGCATAATCATCTATTAGTTCTTCAACATCTTTCCAGAACAAACCTTCCACTAAAACTCCATCCTTGGTGAACCTGCAGTAATTTGGAAAGTCAGAAATGCAGAACTGCAGTGAGATTCACTTGCAATTTTATGAAATCAATGAAGGGAATGTGCATGCATTATTTGTGTGCGCCTGTATGCATGTTTATGTGAGTATAAGAGAGAGACCACTTGGTGACACTCTTGGTAAAGTGCACAGGTTTCCCTGCAGAAATTGATTTGGGATCTGCACTTGCTATGCTTAGTGTGTATTCATCGGAAAATCTGGGCAATTTAGAAGAGACCACTAAACCAGTGCTAGTGTAAGATCCCTGCATAAAACAAAGAATTGAAAATTACGGAATCTTCTGAAAATCGATGTTGGAAGGAGCAATAACATTGCATTGTCATTTGTACAAGACAGCAGACATGGGATGACATTAGATTCATTATGCCATAAACTATATATTTTTTCACACCATTCATGCTTTACAAATGAAATTATTTGGAGAACACACCAGTATCTCCCTATGTCAAACAATACCAGTGAGAATTTAACCTAAATAGCTTATTTTTAGGAAGGACGCAGGCCCCTTTGACTTGGCTTATTTTCAGACTCCATCTGCCCAATTTATCTTTTTGGTGAAGAGTCTCTATCCTTTCTGGTAGGTGTTAAAAGGGGAAGATGTAGACCTGAAATCACATGGAGGAAGTTATCTCAAAAGACCTACTACTTGACATCAGTGTGGACTTCGCTATGAACGAAGCAGAATGAAAACAAAGGATTCATGTAGTCAACCTCAACTAGTTTGGCATTAAAACTTTGTTATTGTTGTTGGTTAAGAGTTTTTGTCCTTTGGCAGACAACCAATCAACCTCTAGTGTTTCAGAATCTATGAAGAAAGGCTGCATTTTGTAGTTGTTAGGGAGTGGAATGCTAGAAGTTGATGTAAAGGTCATTTAATGTTTTCACAATTACAATAATACCAGAATAGTGTGTCACATTGTTTATTATTCACCAACACTTGAAGTTTAACATAAGGATGGTAAAACTAGTCATCTGTTTGTAGTTTAATATAGGGATGTTAATGCTAGTTATTCACTCCTAGTCCTAGAAAAATAAAAAATATTAGTCATTCAAAATAATATTTGTTACATTATATTTTATAATAAAGATAATATATTTGTCTCTAGACATTAAATATTTAACATATTAAAATTAAAAGTTTACAAAATAAAGTGTAAATTTTGAAATATAATCTACAAGTTATTAATATTCCTGTTTTTTATATTTTAGACTATTAATTCAAATTGAACTGCTAATTTACCAAACAACAACTATCCACTAATTTACCAAACATTCTAGACTATTAATTAACCATCAAGCAAAAGCATGCGAATTGCAACCATGCATTTGCATAGAAGAGGATAAGGATAAAGACAAGGAAAAATGGTACACCAGCATCCTCAAGTTTTCGAAGAAGATTATGAAGGATAGAAAGAATAAAAAGAAAAAAAATGCAATACCAGCATCTACTGGCATCCAATTGAGAGAGTAAAAAGTCCAAATGCAATACCAGTAGCTATTGGCATCAAATTGAGGTGTTACAGCATCTAAGAAAAAGAACTTTGAGCTGGATTAAGGCTGTTTATCAAATTTCTTTTACTGGTTTCAAAGCAAACAGTACAACTGAGCAACAACTTTCAAATTCTATCTATCAGGGCATGATCAGCATATTCCTGTGTCAAAGCCAATGCCCAAGAAATGCACACTTTGGCTTAAACGACAAACTTTCTAAACCTCAATACATATGAAAAGCAGAGCAATTTATCTTTATCTTATATCCATCATCTAAAGTCTGTTCTAACCAAAAGAGTCCAAAAATGATTTTTGTCACATGAAAAGACCATTATGTATCTCTATATCTTTGTGGTGGCAATTGAATAATACACTAAATAAGCACATTGAGCTATGAGAACTTTTATATATCAAAAAGTTAACATGCATTAATCTACAGTTCAAGGTGCAAGATAAACATTACAACAGGAATGCCTCAGCAGTACCACATAAAAGAATATAGAACTAGAAGCTGTTATAGGCCAAATGTCCTCTTTTAGATTTGCCAAACTTACCTTAGGAGGATACGTGAATAAGATTGCATTCTTCTCTTTTGTATATATAATCAGCTGCAACAATCCATTGAAGACTATATACTTGCCAGAGTCAAGGGTTAAATAAATCAGAGCTTAAAATCTTCACAAAACAAATCTAAACAACAATTTCCAAAGATGATCTTCCAGCCACAAGGAACAGACTTACAGACATATCCCCAAATTCATCAAAACCTAAACTAAGATAAAAACATATTTAAAAATATAGTCATCACATTGAAAGAAAAAACTGAAAACCCAAACATTCAAGATTTAAAAGACTCGTCCTCAATCCTGACACATAACTGCTAAATCTCACAATTCATGTCATGATTCAGAAAAACAAAAAATTACATTTCCTCAGCTGCTCAAAACGGATAATTCCTCAATTAACATATATAAACAACAAAAACTAACCAAAAAAAAAAAAGTTTCAAAGGATATAATACAATACAGCCGATCAAAAAGTCTCTGTTCTCAGGAAACTTCTTCTTGTAAAACTGAGCAACAAGAGCTATAATTATGATAATACTGCCCATCAACAATCTTACATTGCTCAACCTCACATCTTCAACATATCCACGACTCGTAACAATCTAGACATCAGAAACAAAGAGAAGTAATAATTCAAATAATCGACAGCGATAAGAAAATTAGGGGATTTAGGGTTTTATTGTGTAGATTTGTATGCATTTTATATTACCTCGGAGACCGACTCGTCGAGTATGTGCTTGATCGAGTGGTGATCTAAGAGATTAGCTTTCTTTGGGTTCTTATTCGCCATTTCTGGTTTCTTTTGCAGCTACGATTCGGACAGTAAGAGAGAAATTTTTGAGTGTTTTCTGTACCAGCGAACGAGAGTGGGCAAAGGGCAAGAAGGAGGTGGACGTTACCTTTATTCTTTTGGGTCAGCGGGATATAAACGGCGTCGTATTAAACTTTTTACCGCTCTTGCTTTTTGGTGGGCTGGGCTTGAAGCTAGAATTGCAGTTCCCTTTGAATTGGATGGATTCATTCAATATTTTCTTTTCTTTTTTTTGTTTTTTTTTTTTTAAAAGAGAGTATTAAAACTTGAAGAATTATTGCCAAAATAATTTTAAACATACAAAAAGAATTTAAGCATCAAGTTAATGTGAATAAAAAGAAAATATTAACATGTTTGTGAAATAAAATAAAATATTTCAATTTTTTTATATGAAAAATAGTAAAACATTATAACAATATTCAAAACCATGGAAAACAATTAAAAGGATGTTTTTGTACATAAAATTAATTTCATTCAGTGATAAGCTAGGCTTCTATAAAACATGGGCAATTTGAAGTTATCAAATCTGACCCTCCAGTCTGGTAAGTTGAAAAAATAGATGATTTAGACCCCTCAAATACTTGCATCTAACAAACTTCGTCACTCAAACTTTCTTTTCAAAGAACCTAAAAACATAACTACACTCAAATACAAGGTGAATTTACACATTTGGCCAAACTTCAATTATCATTTCAAAATACACCTTTCAAAGAACCGCAATTTGTTTTCGTTCTAGATCAAACGAAACTGATCAAAGCTTATGAAATAAGTCGCTGTAAACCAATTGGAGTTGGGTACTCAATTTTGATTCTTAGTGAATCGTAAATACGATTATTGAAACATTGAAACCAAATAGTAAATACGTTTTAGAAACAAGGACCAGGTTTAAAAGTAGAAACCAAGTATTAGACGTGTCTTTTATAGTAAATATCCTTGATTAAGTAGCCCTAAAAAGAATTAACTGGGTATACTGATAAATATTACAACATGCAATAGATCGCTCTTATTTCAAGAAACAAGCCTAGAAATGCTGGCACCGCTTTTAAATTAACAGTTTACCAGGCAACTTTGATCCAATAATCTGCCGAGCTCAGTTACTAAATAGCAATGTCATAATTTTGAAGCAATAATCAGAAGAAGGGGGAGTGGAGGAGAGAAGCAGAGAATACAGCAGCAATCAAGGAGGCTTTGATCTTGCTGTACTAATGCCTCCCTTTGTAAGCAGTAATCGCGCACCCCTGACAAGTTCTTCCTTAACCATGAATAAAACAGCAGCTGCAAGAACACTTTGTACGATTTTTGTGCTCATACCCTTGTAAAAGCCATAGAAGCCTTCATAGTGAATCATCTTGAGAATAGCATCCAAAGTACCTAAATTGAAAGAATGAAATAAAAAATCATGTAAATGAATGTTAACCTCTCAACCAATTTTTTTTTTTTTTTTAAACGAGTTAATTGAGGTTAAATTGTTATATCCATTAACTTTCAAATGCCATTTTTTCTTAAGTATACTAAACATCTCACATTTGTATGCAGTCTTCCCCATGCTAAACATCCCACATTTATATGCAGCCTTCCCCATATTTCTACAAAAAGGCTCGAACTCACGATCTCTAGGTCAAAAGCGGAGTAACTTTACCGTTAAACCAAACAAATTAATCTCATATTCCTTTTAAAATTCCCAAACAAATTAAGGTTAGTTAACTCCCATTTACACTACTCTCCATATCCTTCATTCACCTCCATTCGCTTTCCATTCCATTCTCTTAAAACTCCAATGCAATGCATTAAAATTACGCAGAATAAAAAAGGATTTCTCAAACAAAGGATTTCTCAACCATAGATAATTTGTCATATATGAAGAGATAAATCTCCGACTCCAGCCACATGAGTCAAAGACACAAAATGTTGTTATAGCACTTTTTTTAGCAAATTTGTACTTTCTTTTTTTTAAAAAAAAAATACTAGAAGGATAGCACATGGTTACATATCACTAACATGCAAAAGTTGTGGCATTAAGCTATAGCTAAGACCAATATGGAACTTGGAACGAACTTCATTCACAACAATATAGTTAAAGTTGATAAAAATATTTCAAACCTTCATAATGGTGCCTTTTATCTTCAGTTTTAAGCTGTTTTGCTTGAAGTCTTGCCTGCCAAGGCAAATAAATCAATCAGGGAGCTAAACAGAAACCAAAGCAAGTTTCAAACAGATCTAGAGAATCATCTTTCAAACATCAATCTACGGGTGCAACATTCTGCAACTAAATTGAGGACATTCTATTGGCCAAACATTGATTTTAACATTCTTATGTTCTTTTAATGTTCCTATTTATTTTTCTCTCTCCTTGTACCTATTTAATCTCATCCAGTGATTGTGCTACAATAATTTATTCAGTTTCCTCTAGTCTAGTGATTTATAAGCAAACATTTCTCAATTGCATATTTTCTGCCATCTTTTCATTGGATGGCAATATCTGAGGCTGTTCAGTGATGGCCAAAGCAATATTTAGATTCATTAGATCCTAGTTGGTTTAACTATGCCAATATTTTCTAGGCAGTGGGATGAAAGTTTTGCAATCCAATTAAAGCTCTCTGTGAATTCAATGACAATCCATTGCCATCCTTTGTCTGTGAAACCTGGTTTTGCAAATAAAGACTGTATTGCTGGATAAGCAATCCTTGTACCTTCACAACAAGGACAGGATATGTGACAACAGTAGCTCCAAGCTTTGCCAAAGCTCCAAGAAGAAATATCTAGCAAAATCAGGCAATTATGTAACTATAAATGGGTGGCACTGCTGTGTAAATATTTGGAGTGGGGAGCTTTAGGAATAGAAAACTAATACAAAGAACTGGACTGAGTGAAGCCTCAGGGAACTGAATGAAAAAGCTAACCTCCAGAGCAGTGACCCCATTGTCACCCTTCTTACTTGAGGCCCGTCGTTTCTTGAGTTTCTTCAACATGGTCTCATATAACATGAATTGTATGGAAGGATTGCTCACCTATGGAGCAAATAGCAGGAAATCAGTGACAACCCGTAGCAGATTTAATAGTCAATTATCACGTACCATGATCAATGTCGGGAATACACCTTTCCAAAAACCCCAAACCCCAGCTTCATCATAGACTTCTTGAATCTGTAAACATTGTTCTTCCATTAAAACCATAAAGAGAAAGCTCCAGTACTATGAGTTGCATCGACAAGGTAAGATACACTTTAGGAAAAAAAAAAAAAAAAAAAAAAAAAAAAAAAAAAAAAAGACGAGAGACCACAATTTTTAACAGTAAAGCTATATTGGACAAAGCTATTGAAGTACTGACAATTTCCAAAAAAAAAAAAAAAAAAGAGAGAGACACAATTTTAACAGTAAAGCTATATGACAAAGCTATTGAAGTACTGACAATTTCCAACTTTCACCAAGAAAACCCTATAAATTGATGGCACTAACACACCTCACAAGTTATCAAAAAAATAGCACATCAAGAAATAGAACAAAGTTCCAATAACCCTTTTTTTATATATAAAAGAAAATTCCTTTTTTTATATATAAAAGAATTTGCTATTCTTCATTTCATTCGCCATTCACCCACACCCTATCAACAATACTTGTAACACTTGAGAAGGCAATGATAATGCATATTTTTTCTTATGGATATCCAGAATTCGGAAGGAACCACTTTGGTTTCAGGCTTGGAGTCTTGGAATTTAAATTTAACTGTCATCTTCAATGTCAGCTTTTATATCTGAATTATTTTCTCTCCAAAAAACGAAGTATAACTATGACCTAAATTGGCACGATGAAATTGAAGATCCAATTCATTATCCTTTTACTGGAGCCCCTACAAATGACAATACCATATGTTTGCAAAACCAGTCACCAATCATCAGAATTATACTTAATTGCAAAGTTATTATACACAGCCAACCTTCTGAACATACTTTGCACAAAATGAGCTTTCACATTATTGACGGAGGGTAAAAAAATCTCCAAGTCATATGCCATGACGAAATTACAGAAGAACAAGAAAATGAACATCTGACTGTACATACCACATGGCCAGTTCCATAGGGAGGAGGCTCAATTCCATCTATGGCAGTCTCATTTGCAGCAACTGATGATAAGTCACTTGACTTGCATTTCTTTGACACTTTTGTATGAGTCTGCAAGTTCGAAGTAGTTTAAAGCAAGAAACTAATAAAAGCACAATGTAGTTTGAACTCATCCAGGAGAGATAATGGCAAATGCAGATTGAAAGTTAGGTAAACATCTATAAATAAAATATATCGGTTGTAAAAAGGAAAAGGAAAGCAGATGTAATGAATAGCTTAAAATTGAATAGAAAAGCCTTAGTCTTTTAAAAAAAGAAAGAATAGCCTTATTAGAAGATATGCAGATGATTTTGTGCCACTTTCAAATTTTTGAAGGTATTCATTCAAAAATTTATTGCTTAGCTGGTCATTTGAATAATGTTTTGGAGAGAAATTAGAATGTCAAATAGAATTTACCTGCATTCGTGTAACAATTACCCAAATGGGATTTGTCAACAACACATTTACACTCCTGCACAAAGAAGGAACCAAATGTGCGTTTAGGTGTCAAATCACGTGAATCCTAAAGTGAAAAGGTAGTCAAAATAAAATGTCGATAGAGTTGGATGAGAAATTTATGTTAGTTTGACTCGAGTTTTTAGAATGCTATCACCGTTTCAGGGAGCAAAACTATATTTTCTTCTATATAGAATGTCCCTGTTAGGACCTTTTTAATCAAATTCAAATAATAAAATACTCAGGACAGAGGACACAAATTATATTTTTGTTTATTTTAAAAAACATTTCTGGTTAATAACTGTTGCCAACTTTATTTTTAAAATATTCAATTAATTTCTAAAATTATTTGAAAAGGAAAAGGGTCATTAATTACACCCTAAGCAATAGCAAAACCATTTTCTAAAAGACTTTTTCATTGCTGATGGTTAGTTGCAAATTTTGAAAATAAAGGATGGCACAATTTAGCTGGAGAGAGGGGATACATTTGCTTTATGCTGCAAAAGAATAGATAGCTACAGTTCAAATATAACATTAAATTACGATTTGAAAATTTTTCATTTGGCTAAATCAAAAAATAGTCATGATAAATACTTTTAGCTCCATGTAACCAACTAGTTTGTTAGTTGAGTTGATTTTAAAAGAGTTTTCAAGATCATCTATTCACAAGAATTTTCACCAAGCATTTGAAAAAAAAAAAAATGCCAATCAAATTTTATACTACAAGACTAAAAAGGACATGTCAGTACCCCTAATTATCTAAGGACGGATCCACTGAAAGTGTTGGTAGTTTTGTTGTCCTCCAGCATCATAACTCATAAGCATTCCTAGACATATGAATATAATCCTTTGAATATATGAACAAAACTAATTACCCAGCAAATGCAGCCACCACAAGCGATGCAAACATTCCAACTGATCCGTCACCAAATCCTTTTCTCTTACGTTCAAGTGCAATAGCTTCAGCTTTGTCCCTGAATATTTGATAGAAATAATAGTAAACACCCTGTTTCATAAAAAAAATGACAAGCTTATAAGAAATCACAATCTAAATAATATGACACTTACTTGCACCATACTAATATCTTAAACCTATTTATGAAAGCCAAAATTGTGTGATCCATTAATCTAGCAAGTTAGACTTGGGAAGTTCAATCTAGGAAAAGTGGAGAACAAATGTGCTAAACAACATACATAGCTCTCAGCTAGCAGACATGTTGACATATCTCAACTTCACTAATGATACATTCCCGGTTAAAGAATATGAATTTTTACCTCAAGTCAGTAGCACATTCAAAATAAGTAAAACCACTAGAGGTAAGCAGGCATACTAATTACTAATTAGTCTTAAAATTCTAATACAAAAGAGCTTGATCTGCAAAGGGTCATAGGTTACTATAGTTTTATTGACATAGACAACCAGGCAGTGGAGAACAGAAACATACAAGAAATGGAACCAGTCTCCACTTACAAATTTTTTTCAGTCTCATCATGGAACACCATAATTAAACATAACTCATCTAATTGTGCAGTATAGGCAGTTAGCAAGTCATATGATTTAAGACGGAATTTTTAGCATCTGCAGGACCACAATAACAATTTCAATTTGAGTTCTGGTACAATCTATCTTTATCTATAACCATACCATGACAATATATACTACAATTTCTTTAATAGAAACATTTATCAAAAACTAATTTTTCCAAAAAAGAAAAATAAAGTTTAGATTGCAATTAAACAAACAAGCTGCTAAAATGACCTCACCTGAGATGCAGCTGTGCCTACAAGAGAAGGCGTTAGTCCTCCATACAACCGTTCCCATCCTTCGTGTTTGACAACCTACAATCAAATTAAAGAAAGGAAAATCAAAATAAAAAACGCTAGAGTTCATAGTTCTTATAATACAAAATAACAAAAAACAAAAACAGAACCTGACACATTCGCTCTATAGTGCCAAGCTTCCTCTTCTCCTTCTTCGGATCACGCTCCGTTTGTTGCCGAGTATTTACCTGTAAGATCAAGCCAGTGACAAATAACCAACAATAATAATAATAATAATAATAATTTTATGTCAAAAAAAGCATAAAGATCATGTATCCTACCGTTTGAAGAGGATAAGTGATGAGCTGAGCGATGATCCCGCCACCAGCTCCGGCGAGTCCATTGATCAAAGCGTCTGACATGTAAATTTTCTCAGGAAAATTTGCTAACTAAGCTGTAATTTTCCCGGGAAAGTGTAATACGGAGAGATCTCTAATTCTAGAGAAAGAGAGGAAGAAAGAAGTTGAAGAGACTATCTGTACGTTTGGCGGTATTGGATTTGCTTTCAGAAGTCTCCCACGTCGTCTTCCATGAGTCTGTTCAATTGTTCCGTTCAAGAAAACAAATGCGTATGACGTTAGTTGTTGAGATTATATATTTACCGTTTTGTCCTCACTGTATCACTTTTTTTCAGACTGAGTTGGCCTTTTCTTGCCATTCTAGTTTCCAACTCCCAAGAAGGGAAAAAAACAAAAAGCATATTCCCTTCCTTGATTTTCTTTTTCTGTTTTTTCTCATAATTTTATATTTTGTTCGTAGTTTTTTTTTTTTTTTTTTTTTCCAAGAAGGGAAAAAAACAAAAAGCATATTTCCCTTCCTTGATTTCTTTTTCTAGTTTTTTCTTCATAATTTTATTTATTTTGTTCGTAGTTTTTTTTTTTTTTTTTTTTTTGCACTTGTTTATACTCTAGTTTTACAATTATAGGTAAAATGTTAATTAATTTAAATAAACTAATTATATATATATATAATTTTCATTAATTTTTATTTTTTTTTTTTTTTTTTTTGCACCTTGTTTATACTCTAGTTTTTACATATTATAGGTAAATGTAATTTAATTTAAATATAACTTAATTATATATATATATAATTTTTCATTAATTTTTATTATAAATTACAATATCATTAACTAAAAATTTAAGAATATTCATAAAAATAGAAAAAACATTATGAAATAATAAAATAAAAAAAATTGGATAATTAAATAAATTGTTAATGAAAGGTCAATGGAAGATTGGTGCATCGCCTATATTTCCTTCTCGCCTTGTTTAAACAAACATATCTGATGCCTGCTGTATTGAACCTTTGACTATGTATTCTATACTTGCGAATCGGAACCGGCCACAATAATGTATTTATAGTAATAAAAAATTATTATAAGTTAACAATTAAATGTCCATGAAAATAAAATTAATTATCAATCAATTTAAATTTTTTTATAATAATTTTAAATTTAATTAAACTAATTTTTCATATATAATATGATACCATAAACGGTGTATATTAGTAAAATATAAAAAATTAATATTAACTATTATATTAATTAAATATATTATATCCTTACTATATTTAATATGTACCGTATATAATATAATATAACAAATCAAAATTAAATTACCTTTAATTTTGCAATCAATAAAATTAAAAATTCTTTAAAATTTTTTATTCTTACCATATATAATATATACCTTATTTAGAATATAATATAATTTCTTAATTTATCACTTATAATTTAGGTTAAATAAAAAATTAATATACCAATCAAAATTAAATTATCTTTATTTTTTAAATCAATAAAATTAAAATTCTTACAAATAATTATACCCTTACTATATTTAATATATACATTATATAATACTATCTGACATAATTTTCTATTTTATCCAATAGAATTTAGATTTAAATAGAAAATTTATATAACCAATCAAAATTAAATTATTTTTATTTTTGCAAGTAATCAAATTAAAATGCTTGATGATATTAATACCAATCCATAAACTTAGTAAGTGCGTTTTTTATAATCTCAATATTCCCTACTAATTTCCACTTTTTTCATCTATTATCATTAGATTACAGATATATAAAAAATTTATTGTCAAAAAATAAATGGAGTCTTAAATTTGCTATTGTTTTGCATTTTGCAGAAGGAAAAACGTCACTGTTTGATGGATAATTTGCTATATAAAGATATAACACAGTGCTTATGGTAATTATATGGACAATTAATTGATACAGCTGATTTTTTCCTTCAGCCTTGTCAAATACATGTTGATTTCTCTATATTTGATTACAACGTTTATCTATTATCTTGTAAGAAATTTAATACTCTTTAATTTATTTTGATTTTCTATATTTAGTTGCAACATTTCTCAATTAGTTCTCTTAAAAATTCAATATTCTTTAATAAGGTTACAAATTAAAGAGGGATGAGCGTGAAGTTCAAACCCGTACGTAAAGAATATTTGTTTGATTGTTAGGTCAAAACTTAGTTGGTATTAGGATACAAAAAAGTACTATGGTCATTTTAGACACGAAATGTCTCATTTTTATTAGCAAATTTACATATAAGTAGAAATTACACATATGTAAATTCACTTTTACCAAATAATATTATCATATTTTATATATACATTATTAGTATATAATATAATTTTTTATTTTATCCAATAAAATTTAGATTTAAATAGAAAATTTATACGATCAATTAAAATTTAATTATCTTTATTTTTCAATGAATCAAATTAAAATTTTTAATAATATTTTTGTCAATCTATATACTTAATAAGCATTTTTTGTGATCCATATATTTCCCATTCCCACTTTTATGTATATTATAAATTTCTAAATTGATTAAAATTATTGGAATTTATTTTAATATATACATTGGTTTCCATATTGTATAATTTTTAAAGATAAAAGTGTTAAGTGATATTAGTAACTTAAAAATTAAAATACAAACAATTCATTTTCCACTCAAAAAAAAAAAATACAAATAATTTGCTTAAAATTTTTTATAAATTAAATTGCAATTTATAATTTAAAATTAGTTCCACAATTTAAAATTAATTACTAAAATTTTTAACTCTTAAATATAGATAATGAAAGCGTATATTCACTCATTCAATTTTATATGGTATTTTGAGATTTTTCATGATAATTAAAGAAACAATTAAAGGACTATCTAAATATAATAAAAATTTCTTAATTTGCCTAAATTATTATTTATTTCACTTAATAATATTTATGTTCCTATTAATTTATTAATAAAATAAGAGGGAAAAAGATGGGTGATAATCTTTATTTTTTTGTCTAAGGCAATTGATAATTTTGAACGAGTAAAAGAGAATTAAAAAAAAATTCAAAAGTTAATGATAAATACTTTTTTTCTTTTGCGTATTAAAAAAAAAGTTCAAGCATATAGTTATGTCTAACTGTAACTGTATGCAAATTTATTTGTGAATAATCAAATGAAAGTAGCTTTAAATGTGTAAGGATAATCAAATAATACGTGTATGAACTTCATTAATCTTTTATTTTGATATCTAAATTTATTTTTCTCGTTATAAAAATAAAAATACCAATTCATTTCATCTTTTTTTTTAAAAGAAAATTAGATGGTTAGATGATTTTTCTCGATACAAAAATTCTTTCCAAATTGAAAGTGCTTGGTGTCTTTTCATCTTACTACTTATGGAAGAAAACGTATCAAGGCAACAATTTGCATTATTTCTTTGATTTTTTTTATACATAAAATGGTGTTTCAAAAATTAAAAAATAGAGAGGACAAATGGGTCAGCCCTTCATTAATTATACAGCTTTACATGTTACTCAACTCCCAACAATGAATTAATATCCAAGGAGGAGATTTGTTTGACTTTGATGATGCAAACTAAGGAGAGATTGCATGAATAATACTAACGTATTTTGTAAAACTATTTTCTAAAATAATGTGATTCTGAAACTATTTACCAAAATAATGCAATTTTTCTAAGAATTTTCAAGAAAATTCAAGGAACATGAAAATGTACATAGCACAAGCGGATTCAGCATAGCTAAAAAGTAATTTATGTAGAAATAATTTAAGCCACTGTAACTAAATCCGCTTGTAGTCTAATTGCATTTGGACAATATTTTCAATTAATGCTTTGTTCAAAGAGCTGATCGTTATAATTTTTAAATCTAAACAAAATCTTTTTGTTCATTATTCTTGATTCTAGCGAATAACCTCACTTTTGATATGGTACTCTAAGGTTATTAAAAACTCTGACTAGCTTTCTAAGTATAGTTGGATTAGGTTAATCCTACTCAGGAGTTCGTCATTGTTAGAGATGCAAGAAATATGTATGATATTGAGTCGCAATAGAAAGAAGTTGACTAGAAAATTTTACTATTAGCTAACCCATGATGAAATCCGAGTCACATGAAAACAAAAACTTGGTATCAGAAAACAAAATCGAACCTTTTATGCAAGAGATAAATTCCCACATCTAGAAAATGCGAGAATCTCATACTTGAATGGAGTCCCAGATTGAAGAATTATCTCGATAACTCTGAAAATTTTTCAAATCATCAGAAAAGCAAATAATTAGGCGGGGATGAAGGAATTAGAAGCAATAACCATGTTAACACCCATCAGAGAGGTCAAATGGACGTCAGAGTGCAGCCATAGTCCCCTGTGTACCAAACTAGATTCCCTTCATTTAACGATTCCGAAGATCCATTGGGGTGGCTCTATAGAGGCAAATAATTTTTTCGCAACCAACAAACAATGAAGGTGGATAAAGCAGGACTATGGATATTCCATATGATAAGAGAAGCACAATGGTAATTTAACAAGCTGGAGCATGAAACAACCTAATTAAAATGGAAAACTTTGAAAACCTATTGCAACCTATAATTTGTTACAAATGGGTACCGTGCAGGAATACTAATGTCAATTTCAGTCATTATTAGTAAAGCCTTCTTTATTTGTACTAATCAATAGGTAGATCTTTCTACTGCTAGTTTATTTGATATTATTCGAATGGATGTAGAATTGCAAAATTAGAAAATTTGGTGATGGCCATGAATCTAACGCATGCTTATCAACATATTATTGAGTGGAGATACAATATGCCTTTTTTAGATTATCAGCATTCCATGTCTGAGATAGCTCGGCTCCTTCAATCTTCCTCAGCTTATATGTGCTCGGGCTCAGCTTCTTTCAAACTTCATAAGGGCCTTCCCAGTTCTGCCCTAATTTGCTTACACCTGCCAAGCCTTTGGTGATTTCTGCCTTTCGCCACACTCTGTCTCCTGTCTCCTTCTCTGAATTGCCTGTTTTGAACTTGCCTATTGAAGTATCTCCCCACCCTCTGCTTGTATGCTTCAGCTTGGCATGCCTTGTTCAGATCGGTGACGTCAACACATAACCTCCATTTTAAATTGGACTTCGGTACCAAAACTACATTCGCCAGTCATTCTAGATAGTTCACCTCCCTTATAAACCATGCCTTTAAAAGTTTATCTACCTCAGTTGCTCTAACATACTGTCTCTCTGGACCATGATTCCCTTTTTTTTTTTTTTTTTCCATGCCTTTAAAAGTTATCTACCTCAGTTGCTCTAACATACTGTCTCTTCTGGACCATGATTCCCTTTTTTGTTTTTTTTTTTTGGTTTTTATACATTTTTCCCTTTTTTTTTTTTTTTTGGTTTTATCATTTTAAAGCTTGGGTCAATAATGAGCTTATAGGATATGGTATCAGGATTGATGCCAACTATGTCTTCCATAGTCCAGGCGAAACTGTTAATATATTTTCTAAAACTGCCTTAATATTATCTTGTACCTCTCTCGGTACATCGGCTCCCAACGTTAAGTTCTTCCCCTATTTCAACTCCCATATGATCAGCTCGCCTATAGGTTTCGGCCGGAATATACATTATGTCTAGGTATATCAAAGGATTGGTGTTCGGTTGATTTTGTGGGTGGTTCTTCCTCTGGCATCCACATGATTCGTAGGCAAGTGGTAACCCTTTTAGTGCTATCATGTATGCTTCTCGAGCCACTTTCTGGTCTCCCCTAATAGCAACGACCTCTCCCTTATCGTGTAAAACTTCATGGTGAGATATATAATACATGTGGCCGCTTCCAGTTCATATAGGGCTGGCATGTCCAATATAACATTATAAAGTGAATGTCTGCCATCATAAATTCTAATTTAAGTTTCCTTGATGACATTTCGATTCCGATTCTAAGGTTATGTCTATGGACCTAAACACTTGCACAGTTTTTCCTGCTAGGCCGACTAAAAGGGTTTAGCCTGATCTAGTTTCAAAGCATTGAATACCTCCATAGTCAACAAGTTCACCACACTACCTTCATCCACCAAGATTTGTTTTACCAAAAAGTTTTCCAAGATCCCCTCAATTACTAGGGCGTCATTGTGTGGGGTATGTACAAGCTCGTCATCGGCTTTAGAGAATGACATGGATGGCCTAGAGCTCGGCTTCTACTAGGGTAGAATAGAATAGATCTCCCTGACTCTCCTTTTTCTGGCTGAATTACTATCACCCCCTAATGAGTCACCAAATATGGTGTGGATTGTGCCCAGGGTGTGACATTCTTTCGGCTGCTTGTCTTTCTATTCACTTTCTCTCTAAACCCTTCCAACAAATTGCTTCAGTTTGCCTCTCTGCACAAGGCATTCTATCTCTTTCTTTAGTTACCAACAGGCCTCCGTCTCGTGTCCTGCATCCTTACAAAACTTGCAATACTTGCTCTTATCTCAATCGTTGAGGTATCCTCCATCATCTTTCTTGGATAATAGAATTGAATTTGATCGCCCTGTTCTCTTACCTAAGACAATATTTTTGAGTGTGGCCTATTCAAAGGGGTAAACTCCCGATCTTGCTGTGGCTTGTCATCTGTTGAGTATGGCATTCGAACAGAATAACTAGCTCGTGGGAGCCGAATAGGCGATCTCCTTCAGGGCAATTGTCTCCTTACCGGGGATGGATGTCTCTTGTGTCTATACCTCTCTTCTCGGGGTGATCTGTGCTATTGAGCCTCACAGGCTTCGTCTAACTTTGTTGATTTGTGGGCTCGCGCCATAAGTTCGGCAAAGGTTAAAGGAGGGTCTATGCTTAAACTCTCAAACAATTTGCTATACCTGTAATTTTTTGCCATAGCACTAACAGTTACCTCATCGTTCAAGTTCTCCACTTACTTTGCCATTCTTTGAAATATGGATACATATTGTCTTGAGGTTTCTCCATCCTCCCTTTTTAAATCTTTGCCATTCTTTGGAAATGATGTCTCTTGTGTCTATACCTCTCTTCTCGGGGTGATCTGTGCTATTGAGCCTCACAGGCTTCGTCTAACTTTGTTGATTTGTGGGCTCGCGCCATAAGTTCGGCAAAGGTTAAAGGAGGGTCTATGCTTAAACTCTCAAACAATTTGCTATACCTGTAATTTTTTGCCATAGCACTAACAGTTACCTCATCGTTCAAGTTCTCCACTTACTTTGCCATTCTTTGAAATATGGATACATATTGTCTTGAGGTTTCTCCATCCTCCCTTTTTAAATCCACTAGATCAGATGATATTTTTCTGGAGGGTACACATCTTATGAAATGGGCTTGGAATACTGTGGCCAACTGGGAGAAAGAATGAATGGATCATGTTTTGAGTGTTTGATACCACTCTTGTGCTGCCCCTTTTAGGGTAGTTGGGAAGACTTTACACATTAGATCCTCCAAATTAGTATGCAAGTACATCATGGTTCGAAAGGTCACCAAGTGGCTTCGGGGATCGATAGATCCGTCATAGGATTGGAAAGTAAGAAGCTTGAACTTTAGCGAAAAATTTGCAGCCAGAATATCAGCCGATAATGGTGAATCCTGTTGGGGACCATAATCTCCTGTCTCTCTACACTCCTGAACTAGCTGTTTAATAACATTCTGCAGATTAGCTCCATCCAAGATCGGTTGGGTGTGGCTTAGCTCTTGACTATTGGGAATAGTCGTGCTAGGGTCCACCTCCGATTCCGCTTCGTGGTATCAGTCAGATATTGAGTGACTTCGGTATTTAGGTGAAGTTAAAGGGAAACTATGCTCTTGATGGGGAGGGTTTGTTGGCTTGGTGGGTGTTATTGGCTCACCGTTAGGCTAGGTAGTTCTTTAAGAGGCATTTCAACACGGTGTTGAATTGTGAGTAAGTCTGAACTAGGGTAGTTGTCACATGGGGATCAATGGTTGATGGAGGGGCGAATGTGGGTTGTTGGTTGGCCTCACCGTGGGTGTTGTCTTGGCCATCCATGGTAGCATGCTTAGTGGGCACGGTGGCTATAGGAATCGAGAAAAAACTATGGGGATTTTTAGGGTTAAAAGTGTGTTCCACGCTCACTGCACCAACTGTTATGCTCTTAGAATTTGAGGTGTAGTAAATTGTGAATTAACCCCTCAATGGGGTGATTTTTGAGCATATATACTGGACTTAGGACAATTGTACTAATATAAGGATTACAAATTCTATATTATCTGTTAATTTGAATTTACTTAGGAGTCTAATATCATTATTTCAATATTAATGTATGTTAAAAGTAATCTTCCTATTTAATAGTTTTCTAGTTTAATAAAGTCTTAATTAAATGTTTCAACTCACTGAGATCTAGACTCTCCCCAATGAATCTAAGGTTAGAGCTCGCTTTTTTAATTAACAAGCTTATATTTTTCCAGAAACAATAGGTCAAGGAAAGAATCATGATAAAACAAAGACTTAGCTTTTGAACCATCTCTTACTATTCACATACCTAAAACAAGATCTCGATCGCGTGAACGTATCTTCTTAGAGGATTTCTCCTATAGTAGTGGTATATAATGTATTCCAACATCAAAATTGATGAGCTAAATAAAATTTTCATCAAACTCAAAGTTAATTAAGCAACCATCACTGATCTGACAAGAGGAAACAACTTACATACATTAGGCGCATACACCTAAACAATGTGAAAAACACAAATGTCACCTATTTAATCGGGTTTTATACGTAGCAAATAAGTCAACTTAAGAAGATATAAGTTACAATTCATGCAGATACACATAATTAATGTTATTTATTATTAGAGATTCATTTGCATTTTTTTAGTACACTTTTTCGGAGTACTATAGTTGATGTTTTTGAAATTGAATGTGATTAAGTATAATGAAATCCAAAAATATTAACCATAATGATGTTCTAATTTTTATGAACGAGTTATTAAACTTATATTAGGCTAGAATTTTCTATCATTCAATATTCATATGTTTATTTGGCATTTTGTTTAGATAAATGATTATGGTTGAAATAACAACTATGAATTTCTTTTTTAAAATTATTTATAGCCGTTACTTTCTCCAGCAAATCACCAACGATAAAATTCAATTTCATACCTTAATTATTTCTATCAAAACCCCTTCTTATTAAGTCATTTGTCAGTCACTTCCAAATATTAGCCTGCAAAAACATTTAAATTAGGCATTCTTAGTCACCTACGTTAAATGCACCAACAAAATATTAAATACTCTTCAGTAAGACCATTATTTCCATCCTCCATCGCCTTTCTTCTTGGCCAATACAAAGGTGATGTGAGATAGACACTTTTATCATACTAAGAGTGCTCTCTTCTCTATATTTATGTAGTTTATTTCTTATCTATTGGTTGAAATGGGAAGCAAAAGAAGCAATTCTAAAGAGGAAATTGTAAGAAGCCGCTGTAACAAGGTGAGTATCGGAAGAAATTTTGAGGTCAATTATAGTTCAGGAATTGAGAAGGAGAAAAGAATGAATGAAGATGACAATGGTATTGCTTTAATTCTATCCATCTTCCATGCTGAAGGGATACACAACCTTAGGACGAATCCTTTCGTTACTCATGGGATTTATAAGGTTGAATCTTGGGTTGAAATTGGAAACCCATGCGTAACTCTAGAAGTGTCCGGCTCAGCAAACCCCGTATGGAACCAAAGATTTTGCATCCCATTAGAAAATCCCATGGATTGTAAGGTTTTACATTTGGAAGTAATTCGAACTTATTCTAGATCTGATCCAGGAACATCTACTGGCGAGGTCTTGGTAGGCAAAATGCAGCTCCCATTGCCCAAACTCTCAACCAAAATACAAGGCCTTTTTGGATTCGTGAAGCCTGAAGGGATTGGATACAAGGTCGCGGGGGGGATTTATCTAAGTATGGAGTTGACTAAAATTAAAAAGTATAAGTATTTTGTCTAAATGTTCAATTAATGTTTTCAACAAAGCTCTTAGATTGTTCTAATAAATAAGGAATTTGTATTTCCTTTCGCAGTTTAATGGTGATTTTTATGTTTGATTTTGTTTTTCAATTTACTTTGTTTGATACTAAAGTAAATTTTATTTTTATTTTATCATTAGTTCATTTATGATTTTTAGTTTTGTTCATCATGATGTGGTTAGAATTAGGGCTATACATTTTTCTTTTTATTTTACTACTTTTCAGACAAAACATGAGTGACACTAAAACAACATGAAAGAATCAACTCAATGAATGACTCTAACCAACCTTAATTCAAACAAACACCACTTGAATTATATAATTATATAATTGTAAAAAGAAATCCTTGAAAGAATGCTCATATAAGTCTTAATATGCATTCATAATATAGATGGATGCACATACCATTTACAAAAAAAAATAAGAAATAATTGAAAAGGATTGAGGTATGCACTAGAAAGTTGAAACAATAATTGATATTTAATGAATAAACAATGTAAGAGACATTAACTCTAATTAAGAATTGAGATTAATGTGGTAGCAAAACTATAACACACAATTGGATCTTTTCCTTGGACTCTAAGTTAGCATCTAAATGGGAAAATGTATCCATTCTTATCTATAACTTATATATCAAATATCCTTTTAGTCCTTATAATTATAATAATTTATAATAAATTCTGGTTTAATCCATAATGAATATTTATATTCCATTAAACACCATTAAATTCCTTTTAAATTTGCTTTTTTTTTTTTTTTTTTTTTTTTTTTTTTTTTTTTTTTTTATTTCGATTAAACATAAATTCTTTTAAATTTGCTTTTTTTTTGTTTTTTTTTTTTTTTTTTTTTTTTTTGCTACCGAGGATGATTTTCGATGAATTAGGACTTTGGCTAGATTGTTTTTTTTTTTTTTTTTTTTTTTTTTTTTTTTTTTTTGCTAAACGAGGATGATTTTCGATGAAATTATAAAGGACTTTCGGCTAGATTGATACCTTGAGTGGAATCATATTGTTGATTTTTGGGAGAAAAGTAAACAAAGAGAGAATATGAAAAGGAAGGGAAAGGAAGAGAAATACACAAATTTATAGGGATATAGTAGTTAATATTGCATAATATGAAAACAAATTTATAATTTTTCCTATATAAAAGGGTAATTTAGGTATTACAGTATAGTTGTAGAGCTATTATTCAATATAATTATCCTTGTTTAATCATTTAGGATAATAAAAAATAAGATTAATTTATCAAATAGAAAATAAAAATCTTATAGTATTATCAAATAGTGTAGAGATAATTATATTTTCAGTGGCTGAAATTTCGGTTTTTATTATTTTGGTGTCTGAACAGAAAAAACTATCAATTGAGTATGCGAACTTTCTAAATTTTGCAATTGAGTGTCTCCAGTTGAACTGACAATGCAGAAACGTGATTGTGCAACTTTGGACCAATTTTTTTTCACACGTGGCATCTGACATGGACAATAAGAACTCTAACTTAACAAATCAGCTGGATTAATAGATTCCATGTGCACATAAATATGAATTCCCTATTTTGCTCTTAAGAACACCCAAATCTCCTAAACCACTTAATGGAATAGAGTAGACAGAAATCTTCAGCATCTTACTCTAGAAAAACAACGAAGATGCAGAACTCCATTCCCTTATCAACTTGTTCCGTCAAGTATTTGTTTTGCTTTGAAAAAGAAAAATGTTTTACATTGAAAGAACACATGAATTCAAATTTCATGTATTTCATTATTTGTTCAAAAATATAAAAACAACAAAAATGCCTTTAAAATCAAATTATACTCTAACTAGAAGCTCTGCAACATAGACCTATTTCCAAACCTCTTGATCTCTCCATCTATATGGCGAGTAAGCATGAAACTAGGCATCTCAAAATCACACAAAAGAGACCAAAAATGGATGCCAAGAGTTTCACAAACACTCCTTTCTACAAAAAAAAAAAAAGGCCATAGCATGCAAAACCATGCCCAAATAAAGGCATTAAGAACAACCCACTAATTGAAAAAAACAAAGTATTATAACTGTAACCATAAATGCGAATGCCTTGTCCATGGTTTTGAGTTTTCTGTCACATAAAAAGGCCAAAGCTCCTCTAAGCTCCTAAAATTGGTATCTTTTAGATAAATCCAAAAAAATAGAAAAAAAAAAAAAATTATGCAATTCAACTAAACCAGAATTCTATCTGAGATTTGCTTGGATAGGAAAAAAAAAAAGGGATTTAGAGCTTATAAGATTATAGGTAAGCTTTAAAAAAAGGTTTCAATAATTGGTTTTTCTTCAAAGAGGGAGACAGTGTTGGTTGAGTTAAGAAACTTAATCTCTTGGTTATAGATTGGTAGCAATGAGTCGAAAAATTAGTCATGGACTCAGTACTTGTTTGCTTGCTCAATTCGAACACTTTGGAGGTGAAAGAGAAGATCATAGTGGCGATTTGTAAGGTTTCGATGGTGGATATTAGCAACCATGTGTTAATTGCAGAGAGTTTATTGCTTTTGCATCATTTGCTTTGAATTCTAGAAGGAAGTGGCTTTGGATAGGAAAAAGCATATCTGAGGAGCAAATTAGGGAATTTAATAGCAAGTCCAAGCTAATTTGAAGTTTTTCTATGTCATGTCATTTGCCATATGTGATAAAATATGTCTAGCAGTACACAGTCATATTTCGGTGATTCACATCCTTCGGTGATTCACATCCAATTGAGACACTGAAATGCAACGTCAATAGTACTGTTGCTGAGCCCGTCACTGTTAAGCCCAGCACTATTCACGTATAGTACTATTCACCACCAACTGCGAGTTACTATTTTACTATTCATCACTAAGTCGATTTTGCAACGTCTTTCCGAGCGAACTGCACCAACGGACTCGTCGTAATTTTCTCGTCTTCGTGGTATATTTATTTTCAAAATATATATCCACAGATCAACGTACGCTATTGACAGGCTGAACCAGGCTCTGATACACTGCTAGGATAACGCATAAATTCCGAGAAATAAAAAACACAAGCGGCAGCGGAAACCATAAAAAATCTCGACACGCAGATTAGTGAATTTTTTTTTTTTTTTTTTTTCCAAATTTCATGTTTAGGGGCTACGTCCGGGACCATACCGAATATCTTCTTCCACTATTAAGAAATAGTAGGCTTTACACGAGAGTAATACAATAATAGTGAAGATTAAGAGGTGTTTTTGGGAAAATACTTAGTGCGTGCCACTATTTTTGTATCTACTCTGTGTAAGCTAACTAATGTTTATAGTGGAAAAAATATTCGGAGTTGGTCCCGTGGAAAGTAGGTCTAGCCCTAACCAGATGAGGGTGAACACGTTAAATTTCTGTAGCCACATGGTGTCCAATTTATTTATCTTTTTCGCACATGCCCGTAATTATTCTGAGTTAATTTTATATGCCCCGGTATTAACTAAAAGTCGGTAATCAGAGCCTGGATCAGTCCGGTCACGATAGCCGGGACCGGATCTGTGGGAATTATTTTGAAAATAATATACACCGAAGGACGAAACATGATAGGACGAGGTCCGTTCGTGTGGTGCAGGTCTCCCGTCGGAAAGAAGTCTGCAAAATCGACTTAGTGCAAATGACTATAAACAATAGTAACTCGATCGGTGAATGTACTATTACTTGCTCGAGCCCCGTCAACTGGTTAGCCAAGCACTATTCACGCTGATAGTACTATTCCAGACATATAGGTACTTTCAAGTCACGTAATTGCTACTATTAATAATACAAGGTAATATTGTGAGTACAGTTACTATTATATATATGTTCTTGTATACTATTACTATTCATATATACGGTTACTATTCACTCAAAAGTCATGGAAGCTAGAACAAGCAAAATGATCAGTCTAAATGGCGCAAATTACCATATATGGAAAAATAAAATGAGAAATCTCCTTATGGTAACAAAAATGCATCTGCCTGTGTTTGGTTCAAGCAAACCGGAAGACAAGACTGATGAAGAATGGGCTTTCGAGCATGAACAAGTCTGTGGTTATATTCGACAATTTGTCGATGATAATGTGTACAACCACATCTGTAACGAGACTCACGCCAGAACATTATGGGACAAGCTTGAAGAATTATATGCCTCAAAATCCGGCAACAAGGCAAACCATATATAATTTGACCAAAGCTGTGAATTTGCACAAATTACAAGAAGGTTAACTTCTGTAGCAGATACACTTGAGTAATGCAGCGACTATATCACCAGCTGTCAAATACTATGGGCATAAAATTTGATGATAAAAATCTCCGAGCCATAGGTGATTGCTCTTACAGACTAATGGAAGACTTTGAATGATCCATCAATAACAAACTCGTACAACCAATAGTGGATTAGCTGAGAAGTTGTAAAAATGCTGTTCTGAATGAAGAGATGGACGCAAGCAGAATCGCTTTCTTTCATTCAGTCAGACATGCTTCTTAGCAGATGCTAAAAAGAAACATAACAGCCAGCTAGAGGAGGAGCCAATTCTAGAAGTTCAAATTACAAGGATAAGAAGCAGGGGTTAAATTGCAATAAAATTTGCAATATTGTGTGCCATTATTGTGGGACAGAGGCACTTAAAGGTTTCTATTTGCCGCGGATAAGTTCATTTCAAGTGATCAGCTAGGAAGATAAAGAAGCAATGCAAGAAAAGAAACAAGTTGATGTGAAGCTAATGTCCATTGCTTGCGTTTCCAACGGTTCATAGAGACACTGTCAATCTATGCACACCCAGGACCAGATTTTTGGGTAATTGAATGTAGTGGGGCTACAATATAGACATTCCGGAGAGGAGAATTTTTCCATACCTCACCACACCGAAAATTTGGGCGCTATGTGGATCAAGATAGAGACGCAAACTGATTGAAAAGTCGTCAGTCAAGGAGCATTTTTGCCTGGAACAGGAAAATGGTTCGAGATATAATTCTAAAAGATGTCCGTGCATGTACGATGCATTCTAAATTAAATCTTGATTTGAAGGGGACTTTGCATGATTGAAATCCTTCATGTAGCATGGTTCAGAATATGCG